GGGTTGCGTCAAGAACTCTCAAAAAAAAAAAAAAAGAAATGACGCAAATCAGCTCTCCCCGGAATTCCCAAGTGTTGCAATGGAAAATTGGAAAATCATGTTCCTTATTAAAATTGATGGAATGGCATCAAGAATACAGGGTGAAAGTTCAACCTGCACAGCTGTTGTTAAACTCACTTATTCGTTGGTTCATCAAATGAAAATTAAATAATGATTGATAATATTTGCGTAACCAACGCAAAGCACTATTAAAGTAAGTAACTATACAAATACTGTCCTTTTGGAGTTTCCGCCTGTACAGTCTAAGCTCCATTTAATAAACTTTATTTTTGCAATTTTCTGGTGGCTTTTGCGCACTTATACCATTTGGAGTGTTTGCTGCATCCCTGCATGAAATCACTATAGATCAAACTAATATCACATATCAGTCTCACCCATCCCTAGTCCATACGCAGACGAAACACACGCACATATGTAAGTGCGACGAAGGGCTTGTCAGCAGGCCATCGTTGTCGCCGCGGGCTCTCGCACATGACTTCACTGAAAAAAACAAAATCAAATATTTACTATAAAAACCTTGATACTAAATTTAAGGCAAATTAAAATCATCCTTAAAACCTTTGTTTGTAGAAGAAATAGTTTCTGGTCTTTTTATTTCAAAAAAATTTTTTTTTCTTAAGTACAAAGTTTTATAAATTATATCAAAATATGCTTAATATAAAAGTGTATATTTATATTTATTGAGCGGGATAGGCCCAGGTGTTAATTTTTTCCAGCACATCATTGTTTAGCATTCCTTACATTTAATTTTTGTCAGTGTTCCTATACTAGTTGGGTTTTGAAGCTGCAGGCGTTGTCGCCGTCGCCGTCTCCTTCTCACCATTTTTCATTTCATTGCGCCGCTGCACATGGCTGTCAACTGCCAGGCCAAGACGTATATGGAGATGGAGGTGGAGATGGATGCGGAGTCTAAACCGCCCGCCATTTCAGCTGCATCTTTCCTGGGCAGAGTCCTTCGAAATTACGGTGGAGGGGGAAGGGAGCAGCGAGCCCGCATATCGATTTCAGCGCATTGTGCCTGTTTGCATACAAATATCCTAAGGACATGTCACAGAGACGCACTGCCCCCCTTGGAAGCACACCCCCTACTCGCCTCTGGCACACGTACGCATGTAAATTGTATTTGTGTGTGAGACACACTCGTATTTAGAGCCCCTTGTACCCCTGCCCCCGCTCCTTTTTAGACTTACATCCTTGAGCTGCTTGTGCTGCTTGTGCTGCTTGATTTCATTTGCTCGGGCAATTGTCTTCGACGGCGTCTGCGTCGACTTTATTTTTGCCAAAAACTTCCACACAAATTCGAATTGCTCGCTCTTTGGCAACTTGTCAGCCAGCCATTTTTTGTTCGACAAAAAACTTGTGATACCTCCCCCTCCCCCTCCCCCCTACTCATCCCCACCCCCAGCAAAAATCCTGGTGCATGTGGAAGGACCTTTGTGCTTTTGTGCGTCTCGTCCTCCTTTCACTGCCACAAAGCGAAGACAGCGAATTGGCCTGCGTTGGTGCCTGCCTGTGACATTTGATGTTTAATTTCAATAACTCTGTGCGCTCGCATTTTGAATTTTTTCCCTTCATCTGCTTTCATTTCGGAATGCGAGTGTGGAGTTGATTGGCCATGGGACTGAAGGGCCATGACTCCCGATTCCAATTATAGCTGTCCAAAATAAAGACGAGTGCAAATTACACAGATTTCATATCCAATAGAGCAGTCACACCAAAAGCTCACGCACTTGAAATGTGTTTACGGAAAGGACTTGGTTTTAAAGTTGTCAATTAAAAGGGTGGTTGAAGAAAGAACAGTCCAAAAAAGAGATTTTAAATAAGATGAGTTTTTACGAGTGTTATTTTTTGTGTTAAAAATTGTTGTGCAATTTTCTCTCAAGTTTCAGATCATTCCTGTTTTTCCGAATTGAGTGTTTTAAAACTATAAAAAATAGAATACTCTCAATGTTTATATATGTTTTTAGTAAAGAAATCTGAATTTCAAACATCTCTTAGCCACATTTTGGTATTGATTTAAGTCCTGTGCCAGTTATCGCATACAAAAATTTAACTGGATTTGCCTGGATTTGTTACCAAATTTCCCTTGGCTTCTCTCTGGTTATATGCATTCCCCCTGCTATTGTTATTGACCGAAATTGCCCCACTCACAAAATTTCCAATATTATAATAAATGCCTCAAAATCCAATTACTTTACCACAATGTCCGAAATATATTTTGATTTCGTATACCCCCCTGCCTTTTCCCATCTCGTTTTCAGGCCCTTGGCTTTTGTGGTCAACATTTGACCGCTGGTGCAGCATTCAAAAACCCGAAAACCCGAAAACCGTAAAACGCAAGTTGCAGCAAACAAAGAACTCATGCGGCTTGCAATTGTGAAAGGTCAACATTCATTTTCGGAGGGGTTTTCACTTTTCCTTTTTGCCCCATTATTCGGCTCGGCGGGAGATCGAACGCGAAGTGATGGGAAATTCAGGGGGGGTGAGGTGTGAAAATGCCAAAACACACGGACATGGAAAATGGGAAGCAGCATATTTCATTGACTGACTGCTGTTGCTGCTGGGAATTAATTGAGCCAGCTTGACAGCTGCCATGGCCCCTAACCGGGTCCAAAAAACCATCCACCTTCAACCTTCCACGGTCCAGCCGCATCAAATGTTCCGACCTGGCTTAAAGCTGCCCTTAAAGCTTGGCAAAACCAGCAGGAGGCTCCGAAACAGAGTTGTCAGCCTGAGCCCCGTTGCCAGCTGTTAATGAGCATTCAACTGGCTAATTAATTTTATACATTTATTAAACTTTGCCCCTGCCTCGTGGCCATCCCACAAACTATTTACCATACAAATCTAATTTTATCAACTTTGTCTTTGGCCGCTTAACTAGCTGAGTTGTCCGGTGTCCTGTGTCCTGCCGTCTCGTCCTGCTCCCTCCATTTCCATTTCCAACTCCATTTCCATTTCCATTTCTCTGGCCCCCCAACTCCTGTCAAAACATTGTGACACAGTTCTGCTTTCTTACAATTTGCCCCTCGCTCTTTATTTAGCCATGCACGTTTGTTACGGCTTGCGCCATTCTCTTGGCTCATTAACGTTGGCCTTTGTTTCGTCCTGTCATCGTTGTCGTCTGCTGGCAAAGCAGGACCCGGTCCAGGTCCAGGAAAACCCAGGAAAAGTGGAGACAGGGAGAGCCGAGCCAGGCATCCTGCATCTATCGCCTTTGTGCGGTGGCCTTTGTAATTTATAAAAGTCCACCGAACGGTCTTCAGCCATTCCTAATATCAGTTGAGTTGGCTGACTGGATGGCTGGGTGACTAGCTAGCTGGCTGGGGCATGTAAATCAGGTCAAAACAATGCAACTGACAGTGAATTGTGCTCGGTTGTCGGAGCCGCAGTTCAAGCAACCCAGCAGCCAACCTGCTGCCACAATGACACATTCAGGACTTGAACAGTTTTACTTCATTATTGGTTACTCAGCAATTCATTCAGAGGACACACCTTGTGTCTGTGCAAGTGTCCCTGGTCGGGCGCCTCGCATTGCCCTTTTTATGGCCATGTCCTTTGCTTATCCTGCCTGACTAATGACAAGCAGTGGTAGTTGGCCATCCAATTCGCCGACTCTCCGTACCCGTTTTTCCACTCGGCCTTTTGTCAACCACTTCGACTTGGCCTCCTCTTTATTTGTTTCTTGGCGCAAAAACCCAACCTACATGGAGGGGCACAGGACAAAGTGGGCGTGGCTCGGTTCGGCACAGAACACAGCTTCGACTTGGGCAGGTGCTCTTTCTCTCCATAACAAAGAAATAAATTATTTGTGCTGTCAACATGGCTTCCTTAGTCCTGTAAATGGCAGTTGGCCTGCGAACTCGAGCTTATTGTTTGTCTATTGATTTGAATTTGCCCAGGAATTATGCAAGTTATTTTATTTCTGTATACCCCTTTTCTTTAGCCAGCAAATACATAAATGTTTGTTGTTGTATCATGGCCGGGAATGGGGACTGATGGATGTTTAATTGTTATAGATAGTCAGTGCGGACTTGGGCAATCTGTAACTTCGATTAAAACGTCTGCAAATTAATGCGAAAATATTTTAGATCTCTATTCAGGGCGTCAATGGTTTATGGAACTTAAAACAACTACTTTTTATAAGTACTCCCAATGTCGATACAATTAAATTCACATGTAGTAAATTTAGAATTATAGTTTTTTTATGTCAGCTTTATCTGCCATTATTTTAAGCAATGACTAGATTATAGATTTAATCAATATAAGCAAAGCAAAACAAATTAAATAAATTTGTCAATGACAACTCAATCTATTTATACAAAATTACTAAAAGTAATGAATTTTTGAATTACATTCACAAATTTACTATTTGAAGCTTTACAAATGGTCAAATTTATGAATTGTGTGGAAAATTGGTTGCCAGAGCTCTGCCAATTTGGTAAATTATTCAGAGGCGCCCTTCGTCTGGTGTCAGCAGACTCGGAAATAAGGCCGTGATTATGCGAGATTAAATGCCTTCGAAAATATCAATTGGGGATTTGCAACTGGCAATGGCCGTGCCAGAACAAATGGCATGCAAATCAATTGGGCAAGTGTGAATGGCTTAAACAAAGGCCAAAAATTGTCAAACTCTGACCGCATTTAAACACAATAAATGAATAATTGATATGTTGTGGGGGCCGGCAACTAATTGCGACTAACTTTGCTGATTTGTGTAGCACTGTCTCCCCTCCCAAACTCCATTCCCCTAAATTGCGAATGGTCTGATAATGGAATATAATTACAATCGAAAAAGGGAAATTCTATTGTGGAGTAATTGTCTGTATTGTGCGTAATCAAATTCTGGTTCATTTCGCAAAAAGTTTAATTGCCTTAATTGCATTCCCTCGATGTGCTATAAAAGCCGCAGATTTAGAGCAAATGACCAACAGTCGAGGCTGTCGAGTGAAATCGGAAAAGCCCAAGCTAAAACACACAAGCACCAAAATGAAGTTCATCCTGTTCTGTGCTGCTCTCGCTGTTCTCTTGGCCGTGGGTCAGGTAAAAGGAGCACCCACTGTACCAACTTTATATGGTTTTTAATCACACAAACCTTTTCTTAGTGCGATCCGGACTTCAGGCAGATAATGCAGCAGTGCATGCAGTCCACCCAGGTGACCGAAACCGATCTCAAGGATTTCATGGCCAGCGGAATGCAGAGCACGGCCAAGGAGAACATGAAGTGCTACACCAAGTGCCTGATGGAGAAGCAGGGCCACCTCACCAACGGCCAGTTCAACGCCCAGGCTCTGCTCGACACTCTGAAGAATGTGCCGCAGATCAAGGACAAGATGGACGAGATCACCTCGGGGGTGAATGCCTGCAAGGACATCAAGGGCACCAACGACTGCGACACGGCCTTCAAGGTGACCATGTGCCTCAAGGAGCACAAGGCCATACCAGGAAATCACTAGGCCCCCATTGGCATTGCATTCGCCATCAACAGTTGATTAGCTCAATTTCTGCGCACCTCAGGTGAATGTTGTGAAATAAAGTGGTTCAAGTTGCACTAAAGCAAAAAGCAATGTGGATAAATCACTTGGGTTGGTGGCATACTGCTAGGTACCACTAGGTTCTACTTAAGTAGTTATATTTCTTTACTAAAATAATAACGAAAAGTGTAAATAACGCTATTTATTGAAAAGTTTTCAGAGCTACCCAACAATAAAGACAGCTACGTTTTGAAAAACCAATCGATACATGACCAGGTGTGTCAACTTGTGAGCTAGCCCAAAAACCCAGCTCAAACCGCATCTCTGGACAGGCCAGAATGATAGGCCAAGAACTTAGAGGCAGATAAAATGAGGTAACTTGGCTGCCACATTCCGTGATTTATCAACTCTCGGCATTCCGGGAAGCAGCCATTGACAACCTGTTTCCCCTTGAGCCACCACAGCGTAGCGTTGTCTACGAATATCATTTGTCAAATTTAATAAGTTTAAAATCAAGATAATTAAAAGAGAAGTTCGAAACAACGGGTGCTCGGCAACTGGCAACCGAGAGTGCGGGATGAGAATCCTTTCCTTTTCTTTGGAGCACGAGCACTGTGACACCAATTACCGCTAATAAATCATTTCACGTGTGAGAGTCTCCCTCCTCCGCTCCGAGTCTGCATCCTGTACCTTTCGGGTAACATATGAGCTGCGCTTAATGGCGCAATTCGTGGATGGCAGGGGATCGAGAGCCAATGTAACCATAGAAGATGTAACATAAATCAACGCCGCAGCCTGCAATGGAAGAAGACAAACGCGGTTCATTGCACTTGTCTGCCGGCTGAGAATCGTTGAGTCGATTCCCGGGGATTGGCGATTGCGATGGCGATGGGTTTGAACTGGGCTCCAGGGTGTGAGAGTGAGGAACCACGGGGCCCGGCAGGTTGACAAGCCCCAGCGACATGAGACAACAGAATCTGAACGTGAACGCTGCACGTCGAAAGAAAGCCAAGAATTCTTTGAAGGACCAAACCCAGCCCAACTTAGGCCAGCAATGACAATTTGAAAAAGAATCCCTGCTTCTTGTTTGAATTGAAAGGTCGCAGTTGGAGTTGTTGGTGGGCAGGAGAATAGAGAAGGAGTGGGGTCAACCTGGACGTTGGGGCGTTGTCATGGCAGCCACATGCATACAAATTTTACCCACTTCAAATTGTGCAGCCCGGCCATGCATATAATGGCCTGGCCTTTTATCAACTAACAAATACCAGTCGGCAACAAAAAACTTTCCAGCGATGGATGACTTCAGTCGCAGACAAGGCGAGGGGGGCAGTTGCACTGGAAAACTCAATTTGAATATTGTTGGACGAAACAAGAAAAGAGCCGAGAAACGGACCAAGACGGGCTCCAAGACGTACCACCACCACCACCACCACAGCCACATGATGAAATGCAGTCAAGTTAAAAAGTGTCACTTGAGTTATGAGTTCATTGTTTGGAGTTACCAAGAGAGACCGACCAGCCAGTCGAGTGGGGTTGGCTGGATGCCTGGATGGCTGCCTGGATGAATAGATGGATGGATGATGATGGAGCAGGCTTCTTTTCAATGGGATATTTGCTGGATAGTTGGCTTGGCCTGGCCAAAAGGGTTGCTGGGCGACGCCTAGCCAAGAAACTGGATGACTAAGAAGTATGCGGTGGCCGGGAAAATATTGTGTCGGCTGTGTAGTTTATTGCCAAGTCAATCTGCAGATACAATATATAGTTCGAATGGCTTTGTTTCTGCAGGGTGGTTTCGACTTAATTTAATCCCAGAGCTTCGATAGACAAGCCTAAAAGCTAGAACTAATTTGAAGATAAGTTGCAGATCCAAGGGAAGCATTTATAGCGCCCTCAGGCCGCACAATTGTCACCCCGAATATTGGGTTATTTTCAACACTTGCTGGGTTTTCGTTTTCCCGGTGCCACTTCTATATTATCGCTGGCAAACGATCTCATTTGCTGATTCGCTGTCACAGATAACGGGTGTGCGATAGGAAAATAATGGATATGGAAGCATAGACAGTCATATGAAATGAATTTCAATTTTGAAAAATTGCTTTCGAATGTGTGTGTGAAAAACGGAAATGCTGCTCTGTTGTTTCCTCTTTCCGAGGAGCGTGTGCTCAAATTAGAAAGCAAATGCAAGAGGGGTTCGTGCAACATTTACGGCCCAAAAAGTTGACACTTTAGTTGCATTATGTGCGGGTGCACGTTTCCCGCTCGGTAAAACTAACGGCACAGTCCCGCTCAAGATGCACGGGCACGGCATTAGAGATCAGATCCAGGTCCCAAATCGTCCGATCCCTCGATCCCAGACAGCAGTTCACACCAAAGTGGCAGTCCCGCGAGGGCACTCGGCCAGCCCCGATGAATTTACATATGCAAGAGTTTTAGTGCTAAATCCTTATTATGTGGGAACTGTGGCCCAGTGTCGCTCATTGTCGGTTCGGAATTTAATTATCGGTTGCATGTCAACGCCTTTTCAATACCTTCATTATGCTCCTGGGTCGCACTGTAGGGTCATAATTAAGCGCCTAAATATACATTTTTTGGTGAATTCTAATTTTAATTGCCGCCACCGTCTATTTCGGTTTCTATTCATATCTACCTACGTTTGTTGAATGGCAAAGCAGATACACGGTAACAGAATTTTCTGTATTTAAATTACCCGGATGTTAACAATTTTCTATTCATGCTCTTTGTTCGCTCAGGAGCATTTGATTTATGAATATAATGGTAAGGTTGTGGCGAATTGAGGTGGGTCCAACCAGCAACTGATCAAAAATAACGGCTAAACAAATGCCATGGGAATTGACTATTTAGTTTCCAAACGATCAAAATGGTTAAATATATAAAATAAGATGTATTTGAAATACGAATAGAATATGGTTCTTTTCTGGCTCTTGTTATTTTTCCAAGCTTAGTTTATTTAAAAGAAATCTTGATCATTTATTTTTTGCTGATAACAAAATGTGGATTAATTTTTTTCTATTTGGTAATTAAATATTATCTCTGTTGTTCAAAACTTTGCAGGGCAAAAGAAATACCTCTGTTATAAAAATTCCACAACATGTTTTCTTAAATTTCAAATAAAAGGCTAACAACAATACAACTTTCCAAATTCTTCTGGATGTAACCACTCAATTGGCAACGTTTTGATCTAACTAATAAAGAGCATGGCTGTTGGCTCTCGAAAGATTTCTTTTCGCTTTTTTCCCATCCAAGTGGCTTAAAACAAAACCAATTCCCCATGCCATATCAATGGCAATCATGTGTACATATCTCTCTGCTATCTCTTGCCTCATGGTATAGCTGGAAAAATAAAAAAAAAAGTCGACTAACCAACTCAACCGACTCAACCGAGGGGGTCGAACTTAGTTGTCAATCAAATTGTCGCAAGGGCCGCACGCAAATTTATTAAATCGATATGCCGTCAAAATTGAAAGTGGTTGGTATGGCAGGTCGGGGAAATGGGAAATGGGAAATGTGAAATGGGTGGAAGCCGAGGCAATTGGTTAACTGGGAAATCCTCGCGATGTCAGACAGTCGAAAGCCCAGTGCAAACATTTGCCTTGATTGCACTCGATTCGACAACTGACGATTCGCTCAGACAATTGGCCTTGGCAATGCCGAAAACCAAATATTTGAATGTCGTGAAAAATTGAACAGTTGTGGGTGGAAAACCTCTGTGTGTAAGTGTGCAAGAAAAACGTCTGTGGAAAGTGGGTTGCATAAATTTATTGTTATTACAAGCGATTTTCTAAAATAATTAATAGCAAGTGTGCAAGGCTGTCACCAGCAGAAATTACAATTACAAGAACAGTTACATTGGCGAACAAAGGGCCATTTTCTCTGGGCTAAGGGTGTGGGGTTAGGGTGTGGGGTCGGCTAAAAGCGGCATGGTGTCCGGCAATTGTGCATTTTGTCAATGGGAATTAAATTGGCAGTCGTCGACTCTCGGAACGTCAACTCACACCAGCAGGAACTGACAGCACACAAAATTCGAGGGGAGTGGGAATGAGACTGCGACTGCGACTGCGACTACTCGAAACGGCAGGATGTCAAAGTTCCTAAAGGACCAAGTTCGGGTGGTTCAATTGTGGGCATGTTGAGCGGTCTGTCCGCCGCACAGGATTTAGGATTCAGGATTGAGGATTCGATCGTTCAGTTGACTGGCCATTCCCATCATTAGCGCCTGTACGTGTCAAATTGATGCTGTTATTGTTCTCCCCCAGCGATAGTGTGCGTGTGTGTGTGTATGTGTGCGTGTTTGTGTGTGTGCCAGATACTATATATCCTGGAATGGCCGTGGGCACTATTTGACATTTAGCTTAGCCGCGGGTGACAAATTTAATGGACGCACCAAGTCCGGACATCTTTTGTCCGTACACGAGGCGAGTGGCAAAGAGGGTGCGGGTGCTATTGATTTTCCTGCCTCCACCATTCAAGCCATTCAATTGTTCGATTGTCTAATTACTGTTCTATATTCCAGACATTTGGCATAAATATTTTGTAAATACCAGTCAAAAAAGGGCATAGCCCATCAGCTGGCAGAATTCCAACCGCAAGATAAAGGTATTAACTATTAACCCTTTCCCGTAATTTCTCTAATCCGCAATGCTGACATGTGTTAAGGTCCTATCTTCTAGGTCGTGACAAGTCGATGTATATATGGAATTCCATAAATGGAAAGCGAGCTACAAATTTGAATTCTACAGAAGTAGTACTTCTGGCATAAATCAATTAGCCGTGGACACTTTTCCAAGCCCAACCGAGCTCGTAAATTATAAATGTTTCGAAGCACACACAAGTTTTGAATGAACAAGTCCAGCAGTGTGAATGCATAATGCATTTTGGCTTCGAATGACCTGCGGTATGTGGCTATTCTACGTGTCTTGGCCATATCTTAGATGGCCGAGCTTTGGGCCCGCTCTTATATAAATTATTTTTGATTGATGTGGCTCGCAGAGAGCAAGCACGTGCAAGCGACTCTTTGAAATTCGTCAAAGAACTCAGTTCGGGAGAACCCAAAAAAAGAAGATGATTAAAA